TACACAAATACAAAATGTGGTGATTTGGGAATTTAATAATTACATTTTAGTATGGTTTATACAAAGGGAAATAAAAACAAATAATTCCACACTAATAAGAACAGTAAGAAAAATGGGGATCCAAATATGGTTGAGCATGGGGTATGCTTGTGCAAAGAAAAAAAAACATACAGGGAGATGACGGAGTAAGAATGGAAACAAAGGAACTATGGGGGTAGAAGGAGAAACTTGAAGAAAACCACTTTGGAAACGGGTTCTAAGAATAGGTGTATCAATATATATTGTTAATTTTTGGAATACACTTATCTAACAGCCTAATCAGACTAAAGCATTTAAAATATATACTGCATTTATGCTTGGATACTTTTCCATAAATCTACGGTGTCTCCAATTTTGATTAATTACCTGCCATTCGCAACATCATAGCTTGGAGTGGAGTCAAGTCCTTCACATTCTTCTTTCTCTTTTTGTGAGGCTTTTCTGGTGCATCAGCAAACCGTACACTATGACCTGTAGAAAAAAAAAGATGTCTATTTGCAGTAGAGAAAAACAGAACAGTAAACTAATATACCAAAATTACTACTAACCTAAATCTTAAAAAATTAACACTTCAGCATTAACATTAAGGTCTTGTTTCATGTTGAATTAAAAGAATGTTAAAATGCAAAACCTCCACTAGATGCTTGGTTAACATGTTCATCTCACCAGCTTTCTTTTCTCCACTGTCCTTCCTCTCTTCATCACGCTGAACATACTCTTCTCCATCACTGTCCCTGATGTCTGATTGGTTGCTATCACTGTCTTCTAAACTGCTGCCATCGTCATCTTTATCTTGCTCCATCTCATGTGGATAACCCTCATCTTCACTTGAGCTTGAGTCATCATGCTGGTCCCTTTGACCTGTTGAGAATAAGAGCACAGAAAACCGGTCATAGTAAACCAAGTATAGGATATGCTGACTAGTTACCAGTAACTGAGACAAACTACAGAAGCCTCACCTTTTTCAGGGCTGTATCTCGCCTCCTCTTCCCGCCGCCTCATTATATTCTCTAGTGCAAACCCAACTTTACGACCATACATTTGTAGTACCTGTGGTGGAGGAGGACCAGGAGGAGGTCCTGGGGGCTTCTTTCCTGGAGGTAAACGTGGAACACCATGTCCAGGAGGGAAAGGCATGGGGACACTTCGCCCAGGACTGGAAAAAGAGGGAGTTGCAAGGTGAATTAATTTCATCACTCCTTTATAGTTTATAAAGCCAGTGTTACAATGAAAATAGTTCAGTTATCAGCAAACGTGTTGCACCATAATATAGCCTTTTAAATTTTTTAAAATCTGTTTAGCACAATATTTTAGTAACATATTAATATCAAACTGTTTAAAGGGACTCTCCAGTGCCAGGAAAACATTTGTTCAATGATTTCCTATGGGGATTTTGGCGACGCTGGAGTTCCTCACATAGCGTAAGGATGTCCAGCATCGCTTAAAACACTTTTCGTTTTTCGTGTTCTAAGAACATGGAAGTCCCTCTAGTGGCTGTCTGATAGACAGCCATTAGAGGAGGACTTTACCCTGCAAGGTAATTATTATTTATAAAAACTGCAATAATTACACTTGCAGGGTTAAGGGTAGTGGGAGTTGGCACCCAGACCACTCCAATGAGCAGAAGTTGTCTGGGTGCTTGGAGAGTCCCTTTAAAGAAGACTCTATACACAAAAACCACAACAGCTACAGGATGTTTATTAAGATACTATAGTCATCAAAACAACTTTAGCTTAATAAAGTAGTTTTGGTGTAGAGAACAGATCGTGCCCATGTAATCTCACTGCTCAATTCTCTCCGATTTAGGAGTTAAATCACTTTGTCTATAGAGTCCTAATCACACTGTGCATGTCTCTTAGACAGCCTTCCTGAAAAGGAACCTAGATATAGTATGGGTTCCTTTAGTGCACAGTCTGTTTAATCTAGAATTTCTTATCTCCCGCTCTGTTAATAGTCTTCTAGAGTCTGCAGGAGCCTTCTGCGTGTAATTCAATTTGAATTTATAGAGAAGATAAAAACGTCTAAAGCAAGTTAACATCGGACTAAAATTCAAACATTTTTATTTCATGCAGGCTGTGAGTCACATATAGGGGAGGTATGGCTTGGGCTGCATAAACAGAAACAAAAGTGATATAACTCCTAAATGGCAGATAATCGAACACTGCAGGAGCATGATCTATACACCAAAATGCTATGTTAAGCTCAAGTTGTCTTGATCCCTATAGTATTAATTTAGAATTTTCTATGGGGGATAAATGGCATGTACTTTTCAAGATACATGCCAATTTGCCTCCTGCAAGAGCGCTTCCATGTGCCAGTGGAAAGCATGCTCTAGTCCCTGACAGTACTACACCAAAAAAAAAAAAAAAAAAAAGGGACTGTAATTGTAATTTTGAGAATAATGTACACTATAAAGAGTAGGACATATTTTGACATACCAACGTGTGCCCCTGTATTCAAAGCCTATTCCTTTTAGTCCATCACTATAGAGTGATATGGTACCATTTATAAGTATTTGTGAAACAAGGCCACTCTATAGTGATCTGGTTTCACACAATAAATGTTGTAGACATTTTCTTATTCAGTAATCTTACCATAGAGACAACTTATCAGCTGTGGAATAAGGGGCTGCTCAATTGTAAAACAGCAGTCAACGTATGTGTAACACAGCAGATATCTGCTAAAACAAGCCCATTTTACAACATTCAAGCAGCAATAGCATTTTGAACTTTCTTTCGAAATATGAAGAAAAAAATTAAATTATAAAAAAAGTAATTTTAAACCCAAGGTGAGATTATCCCAGTTTTTTTTTAAATAAATGCTTGTTTTACCCATAAGCAGATGTCTTCTTCAAGATGGATGGTGGCTGGGCTCCTGGCAGGGGAATGTCCTGGATCAAAATGTTGGAAGGGGCATGTGGCAAGTCTGGCAGAGGGATGCTCTCCACCTCAACGTGCTGAGCATTCTGAATAAAGAAATAAAATGACTGGTTAAGAGTTCTCTGAAAACACTGGTACACTATTGGCTTGAAAAGGGTCCCTCCAGGCACTAGCACACTATATATGCGTAGTTAAGTTGTATTTTAACTTAACTTTCAACAGTGAAACCTGACAATTTAACGACAACTTCAAGAACCTCTAGCTGTGTCCATAAAGGACTGCTTAGAATATAACCTTGACATTGCTATAGAAAATTACAGGACCATTTATATCCTGATTTGGTGTGATTTCACATCAGATACCGTAAAAAACCCCCCCAAAAAACAGGGATTTTAAATGCAAGATACTTTTTTATATTGCCCCTTTAAAAAGGAACCATCACATTTTTGCTCATTTACCCTAAAACTCTGAACACAGCCATGCTATTGTATGGTGAAATATGCAGAAGAGATTAGCACTGTTCCACAAATCAAGACATTTGTGGAAAACAAATATCTTTCCGCAAATGCACAGAAAAACACTAAGATGAAAACAATATTTAAGGTGAATGGTAACTCATAAAAACATGGCAATGCTGACAAATACTACTACAGGTTAACATTTTGCAGAGATTTTTTTTTTTAATCCTTTTAAAACCAAATACCATATAGAGAGATTGAAATGTTGATACATTTAGTTTGCACAGTGATATAGTGTGGTCAATGGCATCATATCCATTGGGGGATGCTGAACCTGCATAATGAAGTGGGCAACAAAATACAATATTAAATTGATATAATTGCTGGCCCTTTCACTAGTACAATGCAATGCTTAAATTTAAATACCCCCCTAAAACTACCCTTACCATCCACACATTTTGTTTAGGACCGTTGATCTTTAGTTCTGAAAATACATTTGCATACAAATGTTAATTGGAAAAATCACGTCCCTGGGTCACTCATACCTTCACAGCATCAAAATACTGGCTGAGCTGGGACCTTTTGTGCTCATAATCCAGCTCAATTTTCCGAAGCTCCTTGTAAGTTTCTGGATTTTCCTTTTCATACAAGCGTAGAATACGTTCAAATGTTTCTCTTAACTTCTTCCTCTTGTCCTTGAGAACTTTTTCATTAAGCTGAGGTTGTTGCACAGGATTAAATTCTGTGGTAATAAAAGGGGGAGAGGAAGGGATGGATATGTCAAAATTTTTAACGTTAGCCAATCGAGGAGAAAAACAAAATACAAACATTTTGGCACTGATAGTTAGGTGTGAGTCTTGCCTACATTACCAATAATATTCAGTCAACCCAAACAAAACTGTAATTTGGAAACATCTGGGGTGCCAACTTAAAGAAAAAAAACAAACTATGCATACATTATGCTACAACAAAAGCAACAGCAAACAAATGTAAATCATTTTCTAATGCTCTCTGTCATTAGCATTAAGGTAAACAAATACTATCATGTCCAAAGGCAGAGAAGGTCAAACACAATCATTGATGACTTTCAGATAAACTACGCGATATACAACTACGCGAAGATGAAAATGTACTTTTTAGGGCTATATTGTCTTTCTGTCCTCGGTTCCTGCAACCATGTATTTTAAAAACACATACAAAAAAAATTATTACTGTTGTTCTATGACAGGTGCAGACAACCTTCAGCACTCCAAATGTTGTTCAATACATCTTTGTTAATGCTCTTACACAAACAGGGAGATGTAGCCCCCAGCATCGAGTGCCAAAGGTTGTCTACCTCTGCTCTATGAGTTTCATATTATTGTGTTAATGCTTGTAATCATATTTTATTAATGAATTACATTTAGTCCTCTGATGGCAGTAATGGATTGCATTAGATAGAAGTGACAATTATGATTGCCAAGGCTATGTCCTAATGCTTCATATTATGTCACAAGTTTGTTTAGAAAGATAAACACTTTTTTTCTTTTCTTTTAATCTATTGACTACCTTATCTAGAACTTACCCATCTCATCAAGTTTCTCCATGTCCCTGATTATTTGTTTTGGATCTTTCATTTTCAGCACAGCTGCTCTCACCATCATCCTCTGCTTTTTGTTCTGTAAAAAAGAGGAGGAAATTATGAAACCACAAGAGTATGTACCCATGTAAATATGGCTAAAAACTGTTAAAATTGCCTTTTTCAAATACTGTAATTTCTCATTTAAGTTATCTCATTGCAGTTTCACTCTTTCTTGCTGTTCTCATACAACGCTAAGTACACTTTTATTTGGTTCTTAAAAGGAAACAATGCTAAAAGTGAGAAGTCACCAGTGGACTTGTGGCACCATAACAACTACAGGATGATGCAGTGGGTATGGTGTTTGGAGTAACTATTATGCTATAAGAGCAGGAAAGATATTTGAATACAATTATTGATATATTCAGTAAATAGACAATACTCAGTTTGTTATCCCTAATTTTTAAACTAGCCACTGTAACCATGCTAAGAAAGCTTTGCATAAAAGGACATTACCGCTGAAACATATGTTGATGTTACAATAAAGAATGTTTGTTCATAGCTAAGCATAATAAATCAGATTTGATTGTTTAGAATATGATGGAATGTCTTACCTTTTTTAGCTCCCTCTTCCTTGCCTCCTTTCCTGATAAAATAAGAGACAATTAATTTATCAACATTTATGTAATGTAACTATACAACACTTAAATTAAAATGTACCAAGATTGTTTTATATCAACTACTACTGATGGCCTTGGGCTAACGTTATAAAATTTAGACACGCATTAATATAACACAGAGATGAATCCAAATGTAAAATCAGTCTTTTCTGCCCTCCTTTATCAATCAATTATTCTGCATAGAGGCTATTTTAAAATAGGTTTCTACCAATCTATACTTTTGCTAGCTAAATGTTTAGATACTATTTAATTTTTTTTATAGGTAACTATTATTGTTAAAAAAAAACCAAAAAAAAAACCAACCAACAACGACATTAAATACAAGTCCATTGATGCCTGTGTTAGAAATAGGACTTACGAGCTTGATCTGTGGGGTTCATGAACTTCCCACTCTTCGTGGATGAAGTGGATCTTCGCCCCATTTTGTAATGGATGCACTTTGTCCACCTACACAGAGAAAATCGGTAACCTAAAAAAAAAAAAGCAAATGAACAACACAGAAATGGTTAATAAAACACTTGCCAGTATTCAGACCTATATACATACACATTACGCAAAATGTACTCAAGTAGAGTATTGTGTATTAAGCAAGACAAAAATAGGCATCTAAGATAGTTACTACTAGACTTGTGAATTAATGCTTTTCAGTTGGTATGAACAAATCAAGTTAATTTTAATCTACGCCTGAATGAATTGATCGTCAGAGATTTACCTGTAGAGTTTTATTCATTACATTTAATAAGACTTCACATATTAATCCAATATTGATTTGTTCGGATGTAGATTAAACAGGGTTCAACAAATCACAGAAGCCAGGAGAAAATTCCTAGTCGCCATGGCAACCTGGAATTTGTCAAATGTGGGTACTTGTCAGCCTGTTCAGCCGAGATGGAGATAGAAACACAGAATGTGACTGGAGATACGAACCATTCGGCCCATCTAGTCTGCTAAATTTTCTAAATGCTTTCATTAGTCCCTGGCCTTATCTTATAGTTAGGATAGCCTAATGCCTATCCCACGCATGCTTAAACTCCTTTACTGTGTTAACCTCTACCACTTCAGTTGGAAGACTTTTCCATGCATCCACTATCCTCTCTGTAAAGTAATACTTCCTGATATTATTTTTAAACCTTTGCCCCTCTAATTTAAAACTATGTCTTCTTGGACGACTAATGGAGGTTAGAGACAACTGGCTGAGGGAGAATGGAGGTGTAATATTCAAGCTCTTCTTGCTCTGCTCCATTGCGCATCCTGTTGTGATGTTTGAAGTCAAATATGTCATCACGCTGGCCACGCATCACTAAACAGCGCACAAGAGAGCCGAGAAAGAAGAACTTAAAGATTACAGCAGCCACACAGGGAAAAGATCCCCTCCAGTTCTCCAAAAGGTAGGGAGGTTGGGTGCACGATAATTAAAATAAAACAAATAATTTGTGAGTGTGTGAGAGAATCTGTGTGTCTGTCAGTGAGTGTTTCTGTCTTAATAGGTGACTGCCCCCTCACCTTTCCCCTTCGATTGCATGCAAAAGGTATTTTTACTCATCTTTTTCCACCACGCTGCACTGGTCTCCATGGCAGAGATAATCAATATTAATGATCTCATCCATTCCAATGCTTTCCCATAGGAAAGCACTCGGAGGCTATTGCGCATGTACAGCAAAATGCTGTGCTGCGCCAATCAGTGTCTCCTCATTGAATCAATGCATCTCTAACGGGAACGTTCAGCACCTCCATGCTAAATGACTGCCACTAGATGTATTACTGTGCAGCAATGTAAACACTGCCTTTTCTCTGAAAAGGCAGTGTTTACATTGAAAAGCCTGCAGAAACAGGTTATAGACACCATAAATCACATTAACCTGTAGTGTTTCAGGTAACTATATTGTCACTTTAAGATCTGTTATTTTTTGGTTGTTGAAAATAAAGCTTTGTTAGTTAAAAAAAAACCTGCCTCCTAACTTTTTTAGCTGGCTTACAGATTCAAAGCAAATTTGTCAAACCCTGGATTAAAAGGGGTTTGATTCATTTGAACTAGCTGAAAAGCATTAATGCACACATCTAGCTATGAGACTTGAGTCTTTTTTCACTTAAAATATCAAGTTTAGTTGTTAATATTAAATCTTTTGTTTGTGGTGCATTTACGTATAATTTTTTTCCTCTAAGTGTCATGTAGTGCAGTTCTTAATGATAAATAAGGGAGTTACACATCACATGGCAAAATAACAGAATTGGATAGTCAGCTATGTTTGTCTAAAATATGCAGTTCCCTTGTCAAGTCTCACTCAACGCCTGTTTTAATTAATAAAGCCCAATGTCCAAACCATCACTCAAGTGTCCAATTTCATACATTTTGTTTATAACCACGAACTGGAAATTCTACTGAACCACAATCAAGTGGTAATGAGTTTTCTCTTTTTCATTATCATTACTAATCAATGAAGGCAATTTATTATTTGTGGAAAACAATTATTCACATTTTGCACAAAATTAAATATCCTGCTATTGCGCTGCTATGGCAGCGTTCCTAGCAGAGACTGCACTATACCAAGCTGCAGGATATCACAGCTACGAATGCAACCTTCATATAAGGAACCATAGTAAATCAGAAACACCAGACATGCATTCAAGTTACATGATTTCTCGCTGACTACAAACCGAACGTGCACACACTCTGATAGAACCTTGAGTTTGGTAGGGTTCTACATGTGATCAATAGATTTTACTACACAGGCAGCTTGGTGGCGAAGCCATGCACACAGACTCGAGTTATGAAGTCATATAACCCGAACTAATAGTCACCTTTTTGGTCACCAGTTCTTAGGATACCCGCTCACTTCACCATGAATACAGAAACTAGTAAAACGTATTTCCGCTTCCGGCGCTAGGAGTTTGCTTCCGGCGCAGGATTGCCAGGTCTGAAAGGCGGGGTTAAGGAGCCGCCATATTGGTGCACCCTGGAGAAGTCTGAACTCTGCCATGTCAGTCAACTCGCTGAAAATGAAAATTCGTGCAGCTCGCTCAGTTCTTCCCAACTGTCTCTACAGTATATTATTAAACTCCTTTTATGACAATGAATAATACTGCCCGATAAAAATTATATTGTTTTAATATCGAGGAAGAAACTTGCAATGTAGTGTAAATGTATTATTATTTATATATATTTATACATAGCTCCTACATTTTATACGTGCTGTACAAATAAATCGTGGGCTAGTCATTCCTCTAAATGGCTGTTGTGGCTGGAGAACTAATTTTTGAATAAAACAACTAAGCTAAAAACCGGGTGATCAGAGTTTGGAAAAAACCCAAAAACGACACACCCATTAGCTATACAGAAATCGTAAAAATAAAATCTCAGAAAAATACATACACATTAGAAGTCGTAAACCTATTCAGACAGACTGTTGAATACATATATACACAGCTGAATACACAAACAGACTGCTAAATTCACACACAGACTGCTAAATACATATACTGTACACACAAACTGGTAAATACATACACACACAGACTTCTAAATACATACACGCAGATATGACTGTTACAGCTCATCCCCTTTCTGGTACTCAAATGAATGCCGTTTCATTTACATTTTGTAGGAAAATGATCAGAGCACACACATACCCTAGACCAGGGCCATTGTAACAGCATGATAGGCCGCCGGGCAAAGCAATGCACTAGGCCCTGGGGAGATAGCGCAGCTAAGCGGACAAGGGCACATGTAGGAGTGTGGGGATAGATGCATGGGATTGGATGGGAAAGAGTGTGTGGGTGGGATTATGTTCTGTGTAAATTAGTGTGGGGGAGGTCTTACCTCAGTGCCACTTGGGATTCGGGCCAGCAAACAGCTTCCTGTCCTCCTGATCCTGTTTGCCTGGGCCTGCAGATTTACACAGCCTGAGGTGATGGATGTTGAGGTGATCCGGTCATCCCTCAGGGCTGCTGCTGCGCTGGATGGTGGCCGGCACCTAAGGGAGGAATTGACAAGCATTAGTGGAGGTATGGCTGCCGGTGTGGGCACCCCCCGTGGCCTACCCTCCCCCTGGGGCACCCCCTGCGGTCTCCCATGCGGCCCCTGCCCCTGGGTGCCGCACCAGCACTGGCAGGCATTCCCACCCGCCTGCCAGGCTGTCCCAGGATCATACTCCCCGGCCCGGTGAGGAGCAGGACCCTGGGCCCGGGGCACCGCGGGGGCCACGTGTCTGGGGCTGCAGGCACGCGGCCTACTACTTGGGGGCTGGGATCTGAGGCCTACTGAGGCCCACGGGTGGCACGGCCTTCAGACACGAGGCCTGCTACTGCCGCGCGGCCTACTACCCCCATGGCCGCCCAGCCTGCTACTTACTGGGCCGCCCACTACCTCCAGGCCGGGGATGCGGCCTACAACTGCCGCGCGGCCTCCTGGTGCGGCTGCCGCGCGGCCTACATCTCTCCCCCCCCCTCCACACCATCCGCCCCGGCCGCCAGTGCTGGATTGCGGGCCGGGGGCGGTGGGCGGCGGATCCCGCGATCCGGGCGGCAGGTGGCTGCCCGGCAACTGTGCAGCTCCCCGTGGCGGGCGGGGAGGTGAGTGGGCCCTCGCGGGCCGCTGGGGGGGTCCCCTTGCCCGTCGGGAGCCTCCTCTGCCAGTGAGGAAGGCTCCCAGGGCTCTGTCTCCCCTCCCTCCCTATTTGGATGGCTGGCTGGCTTTTTCTTCCAGGGGGCCCAGCTTTCCCTTGCCTGGGCCCCCTGGTCCCCCCCCCCCCACTCTCTGGTGGGCCTGCACCCCCTCTCCCCCTCTCCTGCTCTATCCCCCTCCATATAAAAAAAAAAACCATCCCTCCCTATCATCTCATCTTCTCGGCTGCTCCCTTCTCAGCATGCTGCTGCAGTTCGTGGATCGTCCAGCAGGTGGCGCCTGGATCACAGCTGATGTCCTCTGTGGATGCTGGAACTGCTGTTTCTTTGCCTCAGCCTTCTGTGAGCGCAGTGCTGGGCTTAGATCGCCAGGCTGCGTCCGGTGAGTACATTTCCCTTCTTTTAGCGCTTCGCGTGCGTATGTTCTTTCTTCCTTTCTTCCTAAAAGAAATAAATAAAAAATTGATGCAGACAGGGAAAAAAATTACAGGACAGAAATACAAGGTAAATTACCTATTGGACAAAAAAAAAAAAAAAAAAAAAAAAAAAAAAAAAGAATCCAACGTCAAGTACAAGGGGGACAATATATAAAAAGAATAAAAAAAAAAAAAAAAAGTGTGTGTGTATATATATATGGGGAATCCACAATAAAATAAAATTTGGGTACCCCCTTTCCTTTTTCTGTATGTATTATACATTTAGGTATGCTTTCCCGCAGCGTCTGGCGCAGCTGATAGCGCCGGCGATGCCTCCCAGGTTCACGTGACTCTGGGCTGCTGAGCTCATGTGGCCCGCTTGGCTTGCGCGTAACGCTAGGGAGCAGATGGAGAATGGGGTTTTGTATCGAAAGCTGTTCCCTCCTGCCACGGGGGTCCCTTGACTAAGGGGGACATTAGGGGCTCAGGGATGGTCAGGGCACATATCGGACAGGGGAGTCAACGCTGCGTGGTTCAGCGGTCAGGACACTCTCGGGACACGTATCGTCCCTGTGATAAGCTGGGTTGGTGGAAGTACGTTTTGCACTTTCATCAACGGTTGGCAGTGCGACCCTTCTTGGCCTGGGGCCGGATGGGTTTTGCTGCTGGTTTTCTTTGGGGCTCACCTGGCCCCTCAGCACAGCGTGTTTTTCCGTCCTCTCTGCAATCGGTCGGGATGGGGACCCTCAGTTTATGTGGGAGCTCCATCGGGTGATGTGGGTCCAGTTTACCAAGCACGCTTATAAGTTTACTTCCCAGTCGTTTAGGGTACCCGTGGAGTTCGCTGTGGTGCCCAAGGAGGAGGAGCAGGGTTGGTATCTCCAGATTACTTATTTGCTCAGTTGTCGTTTCCTTCCAGGGGCTAGGTTTGGGATGATGGCTCGGCGCAGCGGGCTGCATGGGTGGGGTTGCAGGGCCTTGCTGACAAAGGCGGCTGTGGAATCAGTTTTACGGCTGCTGCCGGTACGCCCGTCGGGTTTATTGTTTCCAGGTTGTGTTCCCGACGGTCAGGATTGGGTGGTTCTGTGCCTTCATGTAGGTTGCTCCCGATGTCATTTATGCGTAGGGCCGTCGGTGCAGCATGTCCGCACTCTGTTGCTACAGTGTTTTTCCTGGGGTAGTTTTATGAGTTTCGGAGTTCCGTGGCCCAGGCTATATCCGTAGGTTTTGGGGGGTTTTGGGCCAATTTGGGCTCTCAATGGTGTGCTGACTCTTGCCCATTACACTGGCAAGGATCGTTTTTCTGGCGGACTTTGGGGTTCTTGGAGCTTCCCCTTTCTGGTGGCATGGTAGGCATGGGGTGCCCGGCTCTAGAACAGGTAGGTGGGGTTTTCCTTTGGGACCATCGTGGGGCAGTGCGGGCTGTCTTGTCATGTAACAGTACACTTTACCCCAGGGTTACTCTGGTGGCAGCGCCTGGCTTGGCGCTGTTTTAATCTAGGGCGGCTGGTCTTAGGTTTTTTGTGTCCGGGTATTCCCGATGTGGTGGCCGACGCTCTATCTTGGTCATTATTGGGCATACTTCGGTCAGAGGTGTCACGGGGTCAATGTTAGGGCAGTGGAGGTGGTCGCCTGGTCCAACGGTCTGATGAAGCTGGTCCGTGGGTCGCCCTATGAGGCGGCGTGGGGCCCACTCCAGTATGGTGGGAGTGATCGGGACGGATGGGGACGTTTCCTTGTAGGTTCCGGGAGTGGACTGCTCATCTACATGTTTGGTTCCGTCTGTTGAGGGCGCTAGGGGTGATTTCTGTGATTGGCAGGGCTCGGCTTCCTGTTCAGGTTACAGTTGTCGGCAAGTGGTGGGGTGTTTTGGTGGACGGACTTATTTCAGGTTTCGCCGCTCGACTGCTGTTGTCGTTGGGACGGGTAAGTCAGTTGCGGTGTGGCTGATGCGTCGATGGAATCTGTGCGATTCTTGGATGTTTAGGGGTCGACGTGCCCTGGCTTTTCCGCTTTCTCCTAAGGCAGATGGAATGCACGGGGTAATGGTTGGGCTCCTAAAACGGTGTAACGGGTTCCCAGGATGGCCTGACAAATTCCGTTCTGATCGGAGGCACTGCAGTTTTCCATCAATTGCCTGAAAGTTGGTGGCGAGGGGCATTTATTCTGGTTTGGGATGGCTACGGTCGCCGCCAGGCTTGGCGTGCCTGCGCCAATGGTTCAGGGGCTCGAATTTTGGGAGTCAGGGTGGTGGTTCCTTCAGGTTCACCCTGCTGGTCTCCGAATGGATTTCTCACCGCGGTTACGGCCCCACCCCCCGGAAAGGGAGGTTCAGTGGTCTGGCACCAGTTACATGGTGGGGGTGTGGTCCTCCTCGTACGGGGTCGGCTGTCCCGCCTCTTGGACGTACCAGGGTTTTTTTGTCATCTCTGGGTGGATTGATATGGGTTCGGTGTTGTATGGGGTGCTCTTCAATCTGAGGGTGCTCTTGAATCTGGACATGTTACACATTCTGTTTCTTACCAGAGGTTCTCAGGGGCCGGACTGAGGCTATCACCTGTTCCTGTTGGCAGTGCGCTCAGCAATGTGAGTGCCCTGGTGCGCTGCAGTCGGGAATCGGTCGAGGTGGGTTTCTTGTTTTGGCTTGGGGGATTCCAGTTCACCTTGGGGTGTGGCCGGATGTGGCCTAGTTATCTCGAGGGGATGGGTGGCTTGCTGGAGGTCGGATGAGGCCTATGTTGATGGTGCACTGAGGACGACTCCGGCTGGAGATGAAATGCGATTGCTGCTAGATCAAAGGATTGTATCTGGTATTTTTTCTTGTTTCCTCTGCAGT